TTGACAATTTTGGCAAATTGAGCCCTAGGTATTCCATAGATTTTTATTTAAAATTGTACTTAAATTTTTCGTCTTCCTTTTATTCATTACTAATATATAGAAATACAATTGACACTTTAAATATAGATTTTGTATTCCTGTGGATTTTTACATTCTTCTTTTCCAATCTGGATGCATTTCTTGTCTTACTGCCCTGCCTAAAAATTTCTAGTACAATAGAAGTGGTGAGAGCTTATATCCTTATTCTATTCCTTATATTAAGGGGACAACATTCTTTCATCATTAAGTATGATGTTAGCTGTATGCTTTTTATATATATCCTTTTATCAGGTTTCTATTCACAGTTTACTGAGTGATGTTATCAAGGATACATGTTGAATTTTTCTCAAATGCATTTTCGGCATCTATTGAGACGATTATGTGATATTTCTTTTTTAGTTTAAAGTAGTGAAGTATGCACTGATTTTTTTATTCAATGTTAAACCAACTTTTCCTTTGTGGGATAAATCCCACTTCGTTTTGTGTTGTTCTTCGTATGTTTCATATCAATTGATAATTTTTCAAAAGCACAAAAGCTATTCAGTGTAGAAAGGACAGTCTTTTCAACTAATAGTGTTAGAACAACTGGATATCCATATGCCAGGAAAAAAAAAAAAGAACTTCATACCTTACATTGTATTCAAAACTTAATTCAAAAAATTATACTTAATGTAACACTTTAAACTATAAAACTTCTGGAAGAAAATATAGGGGAAAATCACTGCAACCTTCTACCAGACAAAAGATACAACACTGAAATCATCATCCACAAATGGAAAAATTAAGAAATTAGATTTCATCAAAATAAAAAACATATGCTGTTAGAAACATACTTTTACACGAATGAAAAGACAAGCCAGAGACTGGGAGGAAAACATTTGCAAGCATATATCATCTAATAAGGGACTTAAATGCAGAATATATTTTAAAAACTCTCAAAGCCCAACAAAAAGCAAAAAACCCACTTAAAAATTAATGAAAAACTTGAACAGACAGTGCAAAAAAAATACATATATACAGTCTATATAAATGTGTGTATAGACATTAAAAAGACACTCAACCTCATTAGTCATTAGCAAAATTCAAATTAAACCACAATGAGATCCAAACACATACCTACTTACCCATTTGAAAATAAGGTGAAAATTTAAAAGGCTGCTCGTAGAAATATAAAAGGTGAGGGGTACAGAAGAATAAGAATTCTCATATGAAGCTAGTGGGAATGTAAAAATGATACAACCACTTTATAAAAATATGGCCAAACTGTTTTCCAAAGTTAAATATGCATTTACCATATGACCCAGGAATTTCATTATTGGGTATGTATTCTAAAGAAATAAAAATTAGTATTAATACAAAATCCTGTACCTGAATGTTTACAACAGGACTATTCATAATCACTAAAAACTAGAAACAACACAAATGTCTTAAAATAGATGAATAGATAAACCAACTAAAACTGTGGTACATCCACACAATGGAATATAGCTCATATAATGGAATATAGCTCATATAATGGAATATAGCAATAAAAAGGAACAAACAATTCACAGGAACTTGGATGAAGCTCAAAGGCATCAAGCTAGGTGAAAGCAGTCTCAAAGGTAATATACCATATGACTCCCCTTATATGACATTCTCAAAAAAGATAAAACTATAGACCAGATAAGTGGCTGCTGAGGTTAGAGGCAGGAGGACTAGACTAGAATAGAACAGAAAGCGATAGCACCATGTAGTTTTGGGGATGATGGAACTAGTTGGTATGCCAACTGTGGTAGCAATTATATGACCATAAACACTTGTTTTAATACGTATGTTAAAAATCAAACTGTACATCAAAAAAATCAACTTTAATGTATAACTTTAAAAAAAATACTGCTATGAACTCATATGTAAGAAACACGATAGATCAAAAATATTTTCTGAAAGAATAAATTATCAAGAATGTGTATTGTAAAACCTCTACTTCTTTTCAATTTAGGATTTACTTTGTTGTTGTCAAGTCTGAGACTGATTCTGTATAACTGTTCCATGGGCTTTTAAAGTAGTGAGATCTTTATTCAAAAGATTTGCTGATTGTGTTAGTCCAATTCCCTATGCCTTTATCTGTATCTTTTGGGTCTATCTATCTACAAAAGAAATGCAGCAAATCTAATACAACTGTGTTTTCATCAAATTCTTTTTTTTTCTTTGAGACAGAGTCTCGCTCTGTCATCCAGGCTGCAGTGCAGTGGCGTAATCTCGGCTCACTGCAATCTCTGCCTCCCGGATTCAAGTGATACTCCTGCCTCAGCCTCCCAAGTGGCTAGGACTACAGGTGTGAGCCACCATGCCTAATTTTTGTATTTTTAGTAGAGACAGGGTTTCACTGTGTTGGACAGGCTGGTCTCGAACTCCTGAAATCAGATGATCTGCCCTCCTCAGCATCCCAAAGTGCTGGGATTACAGGTGTGAGTCACCGCACCTGGCCCTCATTGAATTCTTTTCTTGAGTTTTGAAGTTTTTATAGAGAGCTTCTACGTTTGGTGCCTACTTATTTATGACTGTTATAGCTGCTTAGTTAATTTACTGGGCCAACATTACATACTATCCACTTTATTCTGTCCAGTGCATTAACCTTAAATTCTACCTAACTTAGGCTTTATTTTACCACATCACTTTTGCATTTTTGCATTTGCCTGGGTCATCTATTTTCAACCTTCTCTTACTTCTTTTTCAACTCTAGCTGATAATCTGAATTAGTATGAGAAGTGGACCCAGGCACATTTAATTAATTAACATATTTAATTTTACTGCTTCCCTCTTAATTATATTTAGCATTCTTTGACATTCAGGTCAAATATGTGGTTGATATACTGTGAAATAATTAAAAGAATTCCAAATTAGAAGTTGGGAGGCTGGAGTTAGCCCCAGCCTTCTGACTAAGGTATAGCCTAAGGAATATAGACTAAGGTATAGAAATCAAAGATTTCTTTCTTTTTTTTTTCTTTTTGAGATAGAGTCTCTGTCACCCAGGCTGGAGTGCAGTGGTGCGATCTTGGCTCACTGCAACCTCTACCTCCTGGGTTTAAGTGATTCTCCTGCCTCAGCCTCCCAGGTACCTAGGATTACACACACCTGCCAACATGCCTGGCTAATTTTTATATTTTTAGGGGAGATTGAGGTTTCACCATGTTGACCAGGCTGGTCTCGAACTCCTGACCTTCAGTGATCCACCTGCCTCGGCCTCCCAAAGTGCTGAGAGTACAGGCGTGAGCCACTGCGCCTGGCCCAAAGATTTCAAATGTTCAAAGGGGAAAACAAAACTAAAAATTCAAAGTATCCAGAGCAATGACAAAGAAACACTCCATACCAAAACCTATGGAACACAGAATTGGTTCTTAGAGAACCTCTTTAACAAAGAATAAGGATTAAAAATAAGGGGACTTAATATTTATGTTAACAAGCCAAAAAATATGCCAAAAGAAAAGCAGGAAGAACAAGGGAAAAAAATTAAAGCAATCCTCAAAACAGTAAAATAGATACATTCCTTAGGAGAAGAACAAAAATAGACAATTTTAGAAATGAAGAGCCACAATCACAGATAATGAAAAGTTTAAAATAATACTATGTGCAACTAACTTAAGAGAAAATGAATATTTTTCCAGTTACACTCCCAAGACTATTCTAAGAATAGAAAACTTGAAGAGGTTGGAATGGTAAAGAAGGAAGGAGGATCAGATTGATTCAACAGGTAAAATGTAACCCTTAAAGAACAGATAATTCCAATATTATTTAAGCTTGTCATGAAATTTTTTCTTTTTTTTTCTTTTTTTATTTTTTGAGACAGGTCTTGCTCTATCACCCAGGCTAGAATACAGGGGTACGATGACAGCTCACTGCAGCCTTGACCTCCCAGGCTCAAGTGATCCTCCTGCCTTGGCCTCACAAAGTGCTGGGATTATCGGCATGAGCCACTGCGCCCAGCAGAAGTCATAGGTATTTTTGAAAGCTCACTAAGGAAATAACATCAACCCATAACAACCACAATTTGTCTAAGTGTAGTTGAAATATGCCAACCCTCAAAAGACATTTTCACATATTTTAACAATTATAAGTCTTAAAATAGATTAAGAAATATGTGTGAGCCAGTCTGAAGTAGAAAAATGGTTTTACATTCATTTTCTAGGTTTTTATCTGAAAATAGTTTTTTAAGGCACCCTTTTTATATTCAAAAGTTACATAAAACGGGGTAAATAAAAAACAACGTAAAGCAAATTGTGCCTAATCAGATTATATAAAATTAGTATAACTAATTTCTACAGGATCTAATTTCCATGCTTACCAATGCTATCTATGCTACCAATTACTTAGATAAGTACCTGATTAAGGACCACCATGTGACCCTGTCATAGCAGAAAAATAAACCTAATACTATCTTTTATCAAACACTCCTATGTAATAAGCAAACAAAAAAACTGGTCAAGATACTTTTGCAGGCTGAGAGCGGTGGCTCACACCTGCAATCCCAGCACTTCGGGAGGCCAAGGTAGGAGGACTGCTTGAACCCAGGAGTTCAAGATCAGCCTAAGCAACATGGTGAGACCCTATCTCCAAAAAAATACAAAAATCATCCGGGCATGGTGGCACGTGCCTGTAGTTCCAGTTCAGGAGGCGCAGGTGGATCACTTGAGCCCAGGTGGTCGAGGCTGGAGTGAGCTGTGTTTGTGCCACTGCATTCCAGCCTGGTGACAGAACAAGACCCTGCCACAAAAAAAAAAAAACCCTGCAATTTTGTGTATATAACTGTTTATTTTTACGTCAGAAATGTTATCTTGTACTACATTTTTAAAAATTTATGTTTCGGTATGTTTCCTTCTGAGTCTCAATATGCATATGTTGGATTTCCTTCTCTGATTTCCATATCTATCATTTTCTAATTCACTTTAACATTTTCATTAATTTTGGTAAATTCTACTTGCTTTTTCCATTTCTAGACTCTGTCTCTTATTGTATCTTCCACAGTTCTCTATTATCTACGTGATCCTTTCAATTTCATCTTCATTTCAGTAAAGGTTTTATTTTCTAATTTCATTTATTTTTCTTTCCACTCAATCAGCTTACCTTGCATTTTCTCATGCAATCACTCTATTTCTTCCCTGGCCTCTTATATCAACTGCTTTGAGCTGCTAATGAAGTAAATACTTCATTAAGCTTTCTAAACTCATGGCAAAATGTTTGGTCACAATGTTCATCTTCTTTATGGCAATATTTTAGGTTACTGTTCTTCATTTGTCCTTCGTTTTTCTGTTTCTTTCTTCCTTTCTGATTTCCAAACATTTGTGGCAGTCAAGCTTAATGAATTCCTTTTGGTTATTCATCTTTGAAGAAGTGCTGGTTGTATGGAACCTGATATTTGTAAGAGGTTCATGCAGAAGGCCAGAGTGCCTCCAGTTCTGGACTGACAACCTTTTCGTGATTCAGAGATTTACCTAAGAGACAGTTTAGCGTTTTACTTCTCAACAGCCAGTGCAGACAGGCAGTCTGGAGGTTTTTCACAATGCAGTCATCTCCTCCCCAACTGCTGTAGAGACAGACACATATTACTTCCTGCAAAAATGGTTTGTTTATGTGACTCCCCGTTTGGCTTCATTTCCCCGACTTCTTAGAATCAAACTAGGTGCAGGAAAGCTCCTGCCTTGAGCTGAAGAAACCCATTTCACTTTTGTAAACAAGGGGTTTAGGTTTTATACCTCAGGGGGGCCTTGCAGTTTCATGTTTCTTGCTGTCTCTGAGCTCCACAGCCATGGCATTCTATCTACTTCTTCCCACATGCAGCCAGCCTGATCGCCACTGCTCCTGGCAACAATTCCACCTATTTTGTGGCTTGGGGTTTTTAACTGTCTTCTAGTTTAGTGGAATGCTGGGTTTGTGTGTCAGTTTTTCCCTCTCTTTGTTGTTTTTAGCTAACTGCCAACAAAGAAAAATGCTAACTTTATAGTACCATCTGCAATTGCAAATCCAACAATTATCTTAAAAGAGTATTTTATACAAGACGGAAACTTAAGTGTCTCACTAAGTTACTAAAAGGTAACAATACACTTTCCTTACTACTATTTTACTGTGGGGTAAAACACCAATTTTCCATAAAACACTAATTTTCACAAGGTCATTAAGTAATTGTTTTTATTTTAAAAACTCACGTGTGGGCTGGGCGTGGTGGCTCACGCCTGTAATCCTAGCACTTTGGGAGGCTGAGGCAGGTGCATCGTTTGAGGTCAGGAGTTCAAGACCAGCCTGGCCAATATACTGAAATCCCATCTCTACTAAAAATATAAAAATTAGCAAGGCATGGTGGCACGCACCTGCAATCCCAGCTTCTTGGGAGGCTGAGGCAGGAGCATCACTTGAACCTGGGAGGTGGAGACTGCAGTGAGCTGAGATCAGGCACTACTGCACTCCGGCCTGGGCAACACAGAGAGACTCTCATCTCAAAAAAAAACAAAAAAAAAAAACAAAAACAAAAAATATATATATACACATATATATACATGTTATTACCTAAGGCAGAAAGTAATCTGATGCTTCAATGTAAAAGATACTTTGTTCAACATATTCAAGATCCAGGGCCTATTTGGGGAAAAAATTATATATATTTTCACCAGCATACTATAATCTTAATATTTGTCTTTGCAGAAGACAAAGCCTTTTTAGTAATAAAGATAACCCACGATTTGGCATGCTACTAGTCCCCAAATTCCATTTGAGTTTGTAATGTAGACAGTTAATATTATATGTATGTTCATTCCTTCAGTAAAATTTTAACTTTAGGCAAGTTTATTTTTCTGCCAGTTGCTACTGCTCTCCTCCTGGCTAGCCATTACCAATATGTACTCAGACAGGTTTTGACCAAAATAAGGTTTTACTACTAAGTAATTTTTATAGGAGTAAATAATACACCAGTCTGGGCACAGTGGCTCACACCCATAATCTCAACACTTTGGGAGGCCCAAGGTGGGTGGATCACTTGAGGCCAGGAGTTCAAGACCAGCCTGGCCAACATAGCAAAACCCGTCTCTACTAAAAATACAATTAGCCAGGTGTGGTGATGCATGCCTGTAATCCTGGCTACTCAGGAAGCTGAGGCCCCAGAATCACTTGAACAGAGAGGTAGAGGCTGCAGTGAGTCAAGGTTGTGTCACTTCATTCCAGCCTGAGCAACAGAGCAAGACTGTCTCAAAAAAAAAAAATTAATTAATTAAATAATAATAAAGCCAAATTACAATGGATTTTGAATTAGTGTTTTAAATGATTCCCTTTCCTATGACACAAATAACAGTAAATCTGTAAATGTTAATATCATGCAAAAGCTAAGTAATGCCTAATTTATTGAAAATTTACAGGCACCGTGAGTTCATATGAAGAAAAAGAAACAAACAAACATGAGCTCCTCCTGAGCTGGGCATGGTGGTGCATGGCTGTGGTTCCACCTACTTGGGAGGCTGAGGCAGGAGGATCGCTTGAGCCCAGGAGTCTGAGGCCAGCCTGGGCAACACAGCAAAACACTGCCTCATAAAAAAAGAAAAAAAAAAAAGAGCTCTTACTTACAGAATTCCAAACAAGATATGTAGACAGAGTGATGGCATTTTTTAAAAAATCCCCATTTGATAACAATCACAGTTGGAATGACAAGATCATATACTGTGCTTATCACTTGTCACAGGCAAGAATTATCAATGGATGCTACAACAAGAGGGCAAAAGGTGTAAGACGGAGGATACCTACATAGTCTCAATGTATCTCTCTACAATAAATATATACATTAGTTATGAAGGGAAAAATAATAACTTCACAGAGGAGTAAGCTGGCATATATCACCTTAAGTAACCAAAGTCCCACCACTAGTAAATGGGATAAATAGACACAATGTGCCTCCTGACACTATGCTCTGGAAAACACTTCTGTGGAATTCCTGCCAAAACTGCATAATCTGAATCTAACTGTAAGGACACACCAGACATACACAAATTGAGAGACATTCTACAAAATAATTATTTACTCTTCAAAAAAGGCCCTGAAAAGGCAAATAAAGACTGATGAATTGTTGATTAAAAGAGGCTGAAGAGGCTCGACACGGTGGCTCAAAGCTGTAATCCCAGTACTTTGGGAGGCTGAGATGGGTAGATCACTTGAGGTCAGGAGCTCGAGACCAGGTTGGCCAACATGGCAAACCCTGTCTCTACCAAAAATACAAAGAAAAATTAGCCAGGCATGGTGGCATGCGCCTGTAGTCCCAGCTACTCAGGTGGTTGAGGCAGGAGGATCATTGGAACCTGGAAAGTGGAGGTTGCACTGAGCTGAGATGGTGCCACTGCACTCCAGCCTAAGCGACAGAGCAAGACTTTGTCTCAAAAATAAATTAATTCTTTAATTAAATGAAATAAAAGAGACTAAAGAGAAATAACTAAATTCAACATATGATCCTGGACCCGAAACAATTATTTGTCTTTTGCTATATGAGACATTAATGGAACAACTGATAAAATCTGTGAATAGACAATAAAATGTATCTATGTTCATTTAAGAAATACACATTAAAATATGCAGACATTGAAGACTGTCTACAAACTACTCTCAATTCATTTTTTTAAAAAAGAATACTGTGTGTATGTAGAGAGAGAATGATAAAGCAAATGTGACAAACATTAACATTTAGAGTAATTTAATAGGATACACATGAACTATTTGTGCTATTTTTACAAATCTGTGGTCTGAAATTGTTTCACAATAAAATTTTAAAAATAGACACACAATAAATGAAAACAAATAAAAGCAGTTAAGAAAAACTCTTTATTTTCCCTGACAATAATGCTAGGATCATCTTTACTATATTCTCCTCATCAGATCATGAAATTTTAAAGCTGGAAAAAAAAGTATTCTCTCTCCCCAAATCCTTCCAATTTACAGATGAAGTTAGTAAGTCAAGTGACTTCATCAAGATTACACATAATTCAAGGCAAAGCCAACCAAGACTATTATCTAGCTCTGACTCAGCTCAGCTACCTTTCAACTATTCCAAGTGGTCTCTTCATCCCTTTACGTTGCCTACAGTCTAAACACATGATACCAAAATACTTATCTCTATCTTCTCATATATTCTCATAAGTTAGTGTGACTAACCACTTTCAGGCAATCTAAATTTTATCCTTAAAAGGCATTTAAGTATCATTGCTCCTAACAATCCTTAATAACTAGTATCAATATATATGTAAAGATAAGAATACATGTCAAACACTGTAGCAAATGCTGAACATACAAAATTAACACACTCTGTTAGGTCCATAATGACGGAGACCAAGTTTCCCTGGCATACAATAAGTATTCAAATATAACTGTTGTATATCACAAAATAAAAGACAATCCAAAGTATAGGAAAGAAATGTGTGTACAGAAAATTACATTAGCAGTTTTAATAAAGTGCCATGAGACAACAGATAAGGAAGTTATTTTCTCTTGGTAAGATTTAGAAAAGCTTCAGAGATTTAATGATACCAAAATAAGTCTTGAAGGACAAATAAGATTTCAACAAACATGGAGGCAGTGGGGTGGTGAGAAGAAGGTAGAAGGATTTAGATTAAAAAGGCCAAAGGCAAGAAAATACTGGCCATTTCTATAGAATTTTTAAACACAGGCTTACCTATTGTTGCTGCAAGTTCTGGATCAAATGTATCATCTGTGAACCTCAAGAGCAGGCTGAAAGAGATATTAAAAAGACAGGTTGGGAACTTGAATTTTCTCATCATATGATAAATGTGTTCATGACTATTTGGTCACACATTATTAGATGCAGATAATAAATGATGTAGGCCTTCTCTTAGAGCAGGTATACACAGAAAAATTAAATTACTAGAAAGGCAATTCAAAAATCCCAAGAGCAAAGCAGTTTACTATTAAATATATTCCCCACGGTCTCCTACACAATCCCCCAAGTACAAAAGGTGGGGGTTTTTGTTGTTGTTGTTGTTGTTTAACTGTTCTGGTATGTCCTTCTGAGAAAAATGATACTAACAGCATGTCATGCTTTAACTGACATAGATGAAAAGGGAAAAAATAAAGTCCCTTAGAATGCAACAAACTAGCTTTTAAAAATCTGATTGTGTAATCCACTCTGAATTCAAGCAAAACCAGAAACATATCAAAGCCGAGCATTCTGTAACACGCAGTATGGCTACTACCTAAGAGAAGATATAGTAAAAAGAGAGGTAAAAAGAAAGATCACACGACAGAGTAGGTAGACTCGGGCAAACACCAGGTAGAGTGTATAAAACCAAGTAGGCAACTGGAGGCTACTGGAGGCTTTTAAAGAAGTTATGACAAATACTGCTCTTTGTTTTAAAATGTTAATACTAACAAAAAATAGAAGAAAATCAACGGAAGACAACTGCCAAGGTTATGGCAAGAGAGAACGAAGGACTAAACCTAGGAAATGATAAGAAACCAGAAAGGAGGGATAAAAGATAAAGACGCCTAGGGATAAAAAGGGATAAAAAGCTAAAGATGCCAGATTAGAAGGGTACTCTAAGATTTTACATCTTCCAGAATTATTTTACTTACTACGAAGCAGAAGTGTCAGTTATTAGAAGCTCTTCAAAAATGAAATCTAAGCTTTTGTTAAAGCCCTTGATTTTAAAGTCATTCAACCTTCCCTCATGTTAACTTCTGAAGTATAAGACTATCCTAATTGACCTGTTTGCATGAATAAAATCAAAGAAACAGCCATCAGGTATCTAAATTATAGAAAAATCTTATGACTTTCTATAGGTTGTGATTATTGCTGGTAGAGGTATGTTTTGTCCATAGAGTTTTTGCAAAATATAATGGCCTCCTAGTAGTTTCCAAACCCACTGTCATTAATTATATTTGAAGGATTAACTCTCCCTTACTGGTTTTGTTTTCTTGTGTTTACCATAAAACCAGCATCACAAAATCAAAGTAAAACAGAAGAGTCAAATTCTAGATTTATCCACCTAACATCTTGACTATATTTACTTACTTGGAACGTAGGTAACAATACTAGTAAGACTCTTAAAGACTACCTATAAAATTTTTCTTTTCTCCCAACATACTCAGTTAACCATAATTTAAGAAAAGATACATAATATCTACATGTGGTCACCACAGAAAATATTACTACAAAAACTTAAGTTAACATTACCTTGTAGACTAGTTGTAATAATATCATAATAATACAATAATGATGATATTGGGTATTATTTACTGAACACATGGCAATGTGCAGACACAAAGTCAGAGGTTTTTCTCTCATAATTGCTAATCCTTAAAAGGCCTTTGTTATTAACAGTACTTCATCAGGAGAGGCAGAGAATTGGTGGCATGGTGTGAAGCA